CTCCGCGCCTGCCTCTGCCGAGCGCCCTGCCCGGGCCGGGCTGGCTGCCTGGTGAGTGGGCGGGGCCCCGCGGCGCCCAGCCTCGCTCTCTGACGTCAGCCGCGGCGGTTGGCCGGCCTTCCCAGCTGCCGTTGGGGGGGCGGGGGTGGTTGGGGTTGCACGTGCGCGCGGCTCCCAACGCCCCTCGCCGTGACTGGGGTGGGGGCGGTGTTCTCGCTGCCTCTCCGTCTCAGTCTTCGTAGACCTCACCTGCCCGGGGAAGAGCTGGAGGAGGACACTGAGGCAGCCCCCACGCAGAGCCCTGCCTCCACGCTTCCTTCCCAACTCTGGCCTGTGCTGGGGCAGGGAAAACACCATGTATTTGGATCCAAGAAGGTAGTTTTCCTGAAGCTGTCTTCGGGATATTGTTCCACTGGCGTGGCTTAGGACCCGCCGAGGTGGTGGCACTTAAAGCCCATTTTATGGGAATAGGGAGTCCTCTCTAGCTTGCTCCTGTGGTCTCGTGGCTGAGGGCAGGTGAAACTCGGGGGCATCCGATCTGTTCCTTCCAGGGGTGTTCAGTAAGGTTGAGCACCCTGGTTGAGAATAACTACTCTAGGCCAAAGGCGAAGGACTATCTTTTTACAATTTTCTGTGGTGTTCTTTGATAACGACTAGTCAAAAGATTTTTGGGAGACTGAGGACATTGGGTCAAATACAGACTTCACATTTAAGCCCTTCCTTAGAGTCTTCCTCTGGTTCCTGGGATTCTGAATTGTGGCTGCTGCATTTCTGTTGATTACCCCCTGACAGATCCCCTTTACTAGGATCCTCCTGGCAATTCTCGCTGCTGTAAGCAAAGTCACATCAGTTGTGCATACACCGAAGGACAACCTGGACTGCGTCGTGGGCGCTAGCCGTGATAATATTAATCGGGAGACATGAGAGTGCCAGCGATAAATTTTATTACTCCTGCAGAAGGGTAGACTCTCGTCTTAAGGACGGAGAGCTACCCCGAGAGGGGGTTTGAACTTCCATATTTATATGTTTGTCTACATATGAAACAGTCAGTTGCGCACGCAAGAAGGTTAGTCATTGTTATATTACATGTTTTTGTTATAATTATCCTTTGGGGTCGCGGTCATCCAGTGGGCGCCTTCCTCTTTCCAATTGAATCATCCTGGGCCCCGGACTCTGGGGGTCGTGACCATCATGAGGGTGTCTTCCTCTTTCCAATTGAATCAGCCTAGGCCCCGGAGTAAATCTCTTCTGCTTACAATTCCTTATCTAAAATTCCTACTTCACCTATAGTTACATATGCTATTCTAAATTGCTTAATAACCAACTTGTTAAACCAGTGCTATCTGGACTTATGAACTTATCTATTCCTAAACTTATGATTTATTCAGCAAGCTACTAAACATAATATTTTTATATCACTGCCCATCTGAAAAGGGAAAGGCACGATATCCTATTTTACAGCACTGGATTTCTCTAATTGCTCTGAGAGGATCATTCACTACATACATGGTATCTACCTTGAAACAAGGTTTTACCTGCATATTTTGCTAAACATCTTGTCACATAAGGACATGAGAAACGAAAGTATAGATTAGGGTGATAGTAACGAACAACACCAATCACTGAATTTGCTGCTGTTCCTTCTGCCTTTTGTGGTGACTTACAGGAATGTCTGACACTTCTCATCCTTATTTTGCAGGTAGTCTCCAGAAGAGCCTTTCACTAGGTCAATCTTCTAAAGGCTTTTTAATTAGTAACACAATCAACAGTCTCCTAATTTGTTCCCCTGGCATGTAACCTATTTTTTCCTAAAATACCTGTTTGACAGAGAGCAGAATCTTTCTCCAATTTAAACTGACCTCACGATACCTTCTTTTTCTCCACACTCAAGTTTGTCTGCCACTAGGCTACAACCTACACCCCTGACTAGTATCTAAGCACTTCTCTCTCTCTTCTCCCTCCCCCCAGCCCCACTTTTGTTACTTTTTTTGCCTCTTGTGTTCTAGGGTAGAAAAATCTTGCCAGCAAACAGCTCTTGTATGCTTAGCAGTAGCAGATCCTCTTCCCTTCCATTGCCCTTAGGCTCTTTTCTTCCCAAATCCTGTTTTCCATTTGTCACAAATGACTTTAACATGGTGCCCTTAAACAATCTCAATAAGAATTCACTGAGCCTGGAAGCACACATTAAAGGGGAATAGATAAACCCTGTACAATGACTCTCCTTTGAACTCTTTCCCCTTCTTTACTATCTTCTAAGTAAAACAGTTTGAATAAAAACTATACCAGAGATGAAAGATAACAGTCTGTGTAGAGGAACATGATGGAATGAAAGGATGACAGAAAAAGGAAAAGGGAAAGAGAACTGCCATTATCAAAGGACCTAACCTGGAGACCAAGAATAAATCTGGAAGTGATGTAAACAACAGAAAACAGAGCTAGAGGGGAAAAACCTGAATTTAATATTAATAGAACACATATTTGAAAAAGAGCAAGAATACAGGGAGGCAAGAGGTTTATTAATTGTTTGACAGTGACCTTTCCTTTGGTCTATTTCCCCCAAAGAAATAGAAAGCAAGAGCGATCCGTGGTTAAAGCTCCAAGACAAATTTTAATAAGCTACTTGTTATTTAGGCTCTAAATGCAAGCTGTCTACAACTGTGAAATTAACTTTTAATTTATTTTACAATGTGGCTATTTCACAGAGCTAAGATATAAGCTACTGGAAGAGAAGGAGGGGGTGAGGGCCTGATTTTGTACTTACGGACTGCATAGCAAGACTTCCATTGATTTAATGGCTTATAGAAGTCTTATTCTACCAAAATTAGCTGTCACAATGTCTGCACTTACTTGTTTCATGCCTATGCATCATGTTACCTTTTTATCTCCATGGTCCCATGCTATATTTTTCACATAGGACCTCATCTGCCTCATTCAATGAGCAAGAGGGAAGCTGCTGTCTAAATGAGCAGCTACTACATGTTTTCTTTTCTTCTCCTTGATCAGTGTATACCTATAGCCTCATGCACTCTATTCAAACCCTCCTTTCAAGATGGATTTATTAACTTCCTCATGGGGTTTTCTATAAAAGTTGAGGGCTTGATACTTAAAATTGTGTTCTCAATGCTATTATGAAATATGGGGGTATTCTTATCCTGATTACAGAACGGAAGCTGAGACACAGTGGTCATGTCTACACATGCTTTAATGCGCTGTGGTTAGTGCTCATTAAGTTCAGCATCTGTAATAATGGGTACTAACTAAATGTGCAGTAATCAGTGCTACTGCACAGTAGCACCAGCACATGCCTTTTTAGTGACTAATTCTACTAATTTAGAGGCTATTTCTATTGTGCAATAGCACAGCTTTTGCTGTGACATGCTAAAGTGCTGTAGAATTAGTCTACTGCGCATTTACCGTCTCATGTAGATGCACTCAGAAAGATTAGATCAAAAGTGTCTGTTAATTTTGGCTGCCCACACTGAGTTACCTTTTTCAAATATATGGGGAGGATGAAGAAAGCACTGGGAAATGTGGGGCCCCTGCAAGATCCTCTGGGCAATCTGGTGGTTGCGCCAGAGGAGGAAGCAGACCTCTTTAACCAGTTCTTCACCTCCATTTTCTTGTGCAGGGACTGGGACTTACCCACTGTGATGCAAAATGGACTCGAGGGGAATGCCTCCAGACCTCAGGTTGGGGAGCACCGGGTTAGAGAGCTTCTGGAGGGGCTGGACGTGTTCAAATCAGCAGGTCCAGATGCTCTCCACCCCAGGGTGTTGAGGGAGATAGCAGGGGTTATTGCAGGGCCCTTGGCACGGCTTTATGAGTGCTCTTGGTGCTCGGGCCAGGTGCCAGATGATTGGAAGATAGCCAACGTGGTCCCCATCTTTAAAAAAGGGAGGAGGGAGGACCCGGGCAACTATAGGCCCATCAGTCTTACCTCATTCCTAGGGAA